TGATGTTACGTCCATCCCACTCACAGGTCAGGACAGAAGGATCGCAATGAAACTCTGTGATTAATATCGTACCGATTTAGAATTATGATCTCATATCTTTCACGTATCAATCTCTCGGAAAATACAATGTTTATACAATAAAATCAACCTTATTAGATATGAATAAATTGTATAGGAGATACATAAATGGTTATTGACATTGTGGATTACACTTAAGTACCGGTTATCACTATTTTACCATATAAGCAATAATTGATTACCACCGGAAAAACGTGTAAGTCAGAAATAACGACAATACAGATAACAATATGACACAAGACTAGTAATTTACAATTTCGAATAGCCTTATCATACCATCTACATATCAACAATAGCACATAAGACAATATACCAACAGTGACACCGATTTAATCCAATACTATAACCAATATTGATAGAGGCTCTTCTATTCCTAACATTAACCCTCAAATTAAGAAACATAATGACCATAACAAGTGACCACCATTAGCCAATAAGTCGCACTGGATTATTAAGGCATTATTGCATTGCGCGAATAACTTATGCACACGCCTAGTCGACTCTCCAATGACACAGCGTAACACCCACGACTACAGCCCCCTTCCTCATACCTCCCTCAATCCACGAGTCGTGTAACGGACGAGAATGTAATCTGAATGACAAAATAAATATACGGTGTTATCAGGATAGGGAACAAACAATAACATTCAATCAATTAATAAGTATATGTTATGCAATAAGAACGGAATACAGTGGAAAGCTATCAGTAGAAATACAGCATTTCGAATAAAACCAAATGAACATTATGTGTTTTATGCTGCGCCGGTATCTCTAACGCAATACGCATATATACTACTATAACTTACCATAATAAGTCAAATAATCCATATATTACATACTAATAATACATTTAATACATATCATTACTATACTACTAATATACAATATAATAATATATATAATAATATATTATATATATATATATATTAATATATATAATATATTATATTTTTTTTTTTTTTTACTTTTTTCTTTCTTAATATCAAGTTAGAAGAGACTGTAATGATGTTTCTATATAAAAAACTAAATAACATAAGGAAACAAAAGTTAGTTCACAATCAAGATCAATGAACATATTAACCATATTAATAATTCCCTACAGTAACTGATACACCTTTCCACTAGAATCAGCTACGAATGAAGATATCATGTCACCGTGGAGTCATAGTCAATCGCTCAAGCTTGACGAGATATTATTCTATCCGAGCATTATGGCATGTTAGTTGATGATTTTTATAATTAGTACATTGTGTATGCTTTGAAAGTTGTTTTGGTAATATTTACTTTATAATGTTATCATTTCACAGGACCTTTTACCTCTGGCGTGTTGTTGATAGTGGGGTGCTGTGTGTGTGTGTGTTGAGTGTTTGTTAGTGTGTGTGTGTGTGTGTGTGTATTGAATTGTGTGTGTTGGTGTATTCGCGCTGTATTTACTAGTACGTGTAAATAACCAACAAATATGTTGGCATTTTTTACGAATCTACTCTTAGAATCTCACAAAACCTTTCAGATTATTATATATAGACTTGCATGCTTAAACCAATCCACAACTTTATTCTACTTTCTCTGTCCTGGCATATGACTCTATGTAACCTCCGCGTGAACAGTACATACTTAACTCAAGAAGTACAGTTCTCGTCAATGTCATATACGAATACTATGTGTTCCGTGTGCGGCGGGCTCTCCAAAGGTCTGCCAGCCAAGATTGAGATGTACGTCACAAATACCTATCAATCAGTATCAGATGATAATCGTTTATAATTTACCTACCTCCTTTATTTATTTCACTATATATACGTTCCCCTATTAGGCATTCGATACTTCTCTTCCGACGCGGGGTTTATATACTCATATGGTGATACGATGGTCTTCTCTAGCCGTACTGGACTTGGATGACGTGCATCATGCAGTAATATATCTATTTCTCGTAATACACTTTGCGCTGTGTATGATTTTTTCAACTACGACATACTCTCAAGCCGATTGTCTGTTGATCCCATGCTCCTCGCATCCGCCACAGACCATAGGAGACCTACGTCCGTTCTCGCCGCGCTCGCCATAAGTGGTTCTGATTTATACATCCTTGTCGCTCTCAAGTCTATAAGGGAACCCCACCCTCATTGTACATTACACTATGTAACGTGTGGTGCGTGACAACGATAGCGACGTAGAGAATGATATTAACGGTTTCCTATTGATATTATATTGTTTTTGCCTAATTTAAATACATTAGTTCTTACTAGATTTTTTGATAGATAGATATTTCAACACACACACACATCACACACAACACCTCATCATAACTAACAACTAACACCACATACACACACACAACACACACAAATCACACATACACACACATCAACACACACACATCAACACACACATACACACAGTATACACAAACACACAGCACACACACACACACACACACACACACACACACAACAAGCATATCCAACACACACACTAATCATACACTAGCACATCATCAACATCAACACATCACAATGGTATGCATAAATACACATACACATGTATATTATATTAATATATAGAACACACACACACACTATGTATATTATATATTATATTATGTATAAATATATATATATGTGAATATATATTATATATATTAAATATATATATATTTATTATAATTATAGTATATATTATAATTAATATATATACATACTATTAATATGATATAGTGGTATATTATATATATAATAATATAAATATATGTATGTTGTATGTATATCTATATATTCAACATATCATAGAGGACTTCTCGTAGCGTTGACTCAGCAAACAGCTATGGCTACTATGCTAATATGTTATAACCTTTCATCTACGGCCTTTTCGTAGAATGTGTCAGCTATATAAAGTAACTGTCATCACAGCACCACCCCCTCTGGGACCACTGCCGTTGTCCGTGTAACCCAAAGGTAGATATATATAGTAGTAAATGGAATAGGAGATGTAAAAGAAAGCAACGGAACAAATTCAAGAAAAAGCTAGGTTGATAGTAAGTAATAGAGAGGAGATGAAGAGAGATAATAAGACGTAATGATCTAGGAATAGATGAAAGTGAAGAGGGAAACGGGAAAAGATGATCATATATTATTACATGTTATATATGTATACTTTTTTTTTTATAAAATTAATTTTGCATTCTTAAGAATGAGTATACTGCAAATCCTGTGGCCAGTACAATTTTGGTTGTTATAGTAAAGGGAAAAGAGACAGCCCAGAATTATATACGTGTTTAGACGTTCTTGCAGGATTGACGTTTAGAAGAAAAAAAGTTTGTAGACATCTCCGATGAGAACCTTGTGTGAATAAGTAGCAGGTACGTATAGCAAATTGTCAGAGGAAAATTTGTGAAGTATTAATAATTGAGAGAGGATTAGATGAGGTTGATTATTCAAATATCATCTCATGATACTAATAAGAATTATTATTAGGTCTCAATTTATTATTATTATTATTTTTGTTTTTCTTGGACCTTACACAAACAGGAGTGTGCAGACCTAGTTAAAAGTATTTCAGAATTTTATTATATTCTGTATCACAGTGTATGATGTTTTTTGGACTTTACTAGTCACTGAATATTGATATAGTTTGAGACTTTATTTCTGAACTCGTTTGTAAAACAATATTTTTGAAATTTATCATAGATATGCAAGTAGAAGAAAAAGAAGTTACAAGATAACATAGCAACAGCGAGGCAGGAAAGCTAAAGAGAATCGCTCATACATAGTGAGACCAGCGTAAATTCACACCTATTTTCTCACGACAGCTGACGCAGAGACCATCCACTTAAATAGATGCTAACAGCCCGCAATTCCTCTCCTTGGTCCAGATTAAAGTCGGGTCCTTATAGAGGCACCTGCGGTCGTGTGCAAACGTTTTCCAACGATAGAGCGGCCCTTCGCTCATCTGTCTGGCCGAGGAAATTCGGACTTGGCGAACATTATGTGTTATGGTTAGGCCATTTGATTTCGGCTCGCTATTTGTAGGGCTTTTTACCGTCACGCCTGTGAGCCCCACACATGAGTTAGAGAGAATGTGGTGTGCTCAAGCCTCGGTTGCCGCTCTTGTTGGTATTAGTATATGTATGCGTCTCTCTGGTGTGCTGATGGCGAGCTAATGCGCATTCGGGTTGGAGGGATACTATCTGCATATTGTTATTCTTATTGTTTACTTCATATTCGTGTCTTTTTCGTTTATTTTTTCTTCTGCTACAGGTATTGTACCTTTATTCGTGGTTTCGATCATAATACGGAATAGGTATAATAGTAATAATTGATGATTTTTTGTTATCTCTATGCTTTTGTATTTAATTTTTATTCTAGAAATTAATTTTGTTATTGATATTGATTGTTGTTTTAATTTAATTATATCAGTTAATTATTTATTTAGCCTATAATTATTATTAATTATAGATACTGTGTTTCACTCGCCTCGTCCCCCTCACGGCAGATGTCTAGCCTGTGCCTTCTCAAAGCACCCTCTATCAGTACTCTACTATGGTAGACCTTTATGGTATGTTCAAATAGAATCTCATTTGATATTATGATATCAGTTACGTGAATCCAATAACTCCGTTTTCAAAAGTTTGAGTTGATAATCATTTCCGTAATGTTTAAATATTTTGAGTTTGATCATTGCTGTAATGTTATTCAAATTAAAAATAGATTCCACAAAGTTCATCTTAGAAATTTCTATTATTTGTATATATCTTGCTAAGCTTAAATACATATTAGGTCCCCGCATTGTGTATAAAAATATATTTGTATCAATCTAGGGAATCTTTGTTCTAATAATTCTGACCAAAAATAGTAGAATTAAAACTGAATCAACATGAAATGTTTTATTCATGGATATTGCACTTGCATGTATCACCACAGATGGTGCAAACAGCTGTGTCTGGAGCGAGAATACCGAAGGCGATGCAGATGCTACGCGCTCTTCGCCCAGGAACACAACGACACCAAAAACGACCTGGGGGGAGTTGACATCCGCTGTTCTCTCTTTAATACCACTCAGAGTGAGTCTATTCGCCCTTCGGTAACTGCATATCAGAGCCCTTCTAGAGGATGTTTACATATTCGTCGCTTCTGTGGCCTCCTATCTATGCACTGTCGTATCACTTGGTGTTGTTTATTGTGTGGATCTTCTATAGCCATCGCAAAGTACGTACTTGTCATCTGTATCATCTGTACGAGGTATAAAACAAAGATGAAAAGAGAGGATGTTCGCATCGGCTTCTTCTTAAAGCGATAATCATCTGTCAGATAATCTTACTCATTTATCTTATCTTTGCGTTTTACTCCACCTTTCATCCTCAACTTTCACATTCTTTTCGTCAACATCATATTCCCAAGCTGCTTACCCCCAAGGCCTCTTTATTCCTCCTTAACCATAGCTCCTACTTTAAAACTGCTTACCTTCATTTTGCTATTAAAACTCATGTTGCAATACTGCCTCGTCTTTTTTTAGTTTCATATTGCATGTGATTATTACGCTGGTTTTCCTATTTTCAACTAAAGCAATTATTTTAGTTTAATTTCTCCGTCTGAACATTGTCATTGGAATATCTGTCTTTGGGTATATTATTCAGTTTTACATTTGATAAATGTGAAACGCTATTATATCAGTTATCTATTTATCTTAATTAGAGTATTTCTTGCAGAGGTGTGCATGAAGAAGATCGCAGCAGACGACCTCGATGGCGTCTTGGAGTGTGACTGCCCATTACCATGCCGGTATAGATACTCCGTTTTCGTAATACATCAAATGAAATATCTTATCATTATGGTGATATTCTCTCTATATTAGCACTTAAGTCCATTCCAGTGACCTATCGACAACGTTATGATTATTTAGCCCATTGTTTTACCCACACTCTGTCCCCCTTTCCAGAGAAACACAGTATTAGGTCACAGGTCACCTCAACGCGGGCGAACATGCTGCACTATGAACTGCTCCACAAGCTCAGGAAAAACGTTGCCAGCTTTTGCTCCGAGTGAGTATCATGCAAATAATTTTTAAATACTTGAAATATCTGTGAATAAAAATTATCGATTACCTTCGTGTTATGTTTACGATAATTGAGAGTAACAGCTGTTACTGAAATTAATTTATACACGTGCTGTGGGCATGTGTATCTTTTGTAAGATATTTATCATATATCATATACTTATTCTTAACACGGGTATTATGTACACAAACATATTTTTACGAGGTTATTATGCACACATACATATTCGTAACACAGTGTGATGGTATGCATATTTAATTAATTTGTATTAGGTCCAATAGCATTAGGCTCAGTTTTATAACAAATGGAATGGATTTTTCTCACCAGCAAAATGGACACGGTTGTTCTTCATGTCTATCTTGACTCCATTTCCTACGAGTTGATCGACGAGAGTCCGACTACACTGTATAAAGCAGTGCGATTACATACTGTTTTAATGTCTACAATTAAAATAATATACAATTATTTTCTTTTCGTCTTTAGATGTCTATAATGAAGAATGTACTTTGATTGAAATGATAACTCCAATGTCAAATTCTATAAAAGAATTTGAATCTTTGAATCCCTGCACAGTGGGATACCTTGCTATGTAATCTGGGCGGATCTCTCGGCCTTTTCGTGGGCGTGTCCATGTTGAGTATCCTGCTGAAAGTGTTGGAGCTCCTTGTGGATTTGTGTATCTTGACCTTTTCACAAAAGAAGAGAGGACGGAAAGATAAGAAGGAATGGAACCAAGACGAAGGAGAGTTAGTCAAAGTGCAAACACAAGGGGAGAAGAACGTGAACTTTGCGTGGTGTGTTAGGTATGTATAAAAAAAACAGCCCTCAGTTTCCATTGTAACATGTGAAAGGGATAGCTGTAAGTACAGGGGATGAAAATAAACACTTGAACAAATAGTGTTTCAGAGGAAGTGTCGGAAAGTGTTCTGCTCAATATGATGCTCTGCAATCGAAAGTTGCAAGTTTTAAGAGAAGTAGCTCCGACGTCATATTAAAGATGGCCGTGGCAATGAATAAGTCCAGACAAAAAAAAAAGAGAGATAGGTGGCTGGGGAGGTGGGAATGGCAGAAGCGTAGGGAGAGGCAGGAGCTGTAAAGGAGGTGAAATGGCGAGAGAGAGAGGATGGACGAGGGGGAGAACAACAGATGCAAAAAGGAATGGGACGACAAAGAAGGGAAGGTGAGAAGGGTTTGATGGGAGAGGAGGAGAGAGAGACAGAGAGGAGGAGAGAGAGGGAGGAGAGGAGGGACGAAGAGAGAGAGAGAGGGAGAGAGAAGCGGACGGACGGAGAGAGATGAGAGAGATGAGAGAGGAGAAGGGAGGGGGAGAGAGAGACAGAGAGAGAGACCAAACACAAACACAGAAGGAGGAGAGGAGAGGAGGGAGAGGATGAGAGAGAGAGAGAGAGAGGAGAGAGGTGGAAGGGAGGAGGAGGAGAGAGAGAGGTGAGAGAGGAGGGAGGGAGGAGGAGAGAGAGACAGAGAGGAGACAGAGAGAGAGAAGAGGAGAGAGAGAAGAGAGTGAGAGAGAGAGAGAGAGAGGGAGACAGAGGAGATGAAGGAAGAGAGGGAGAGGATGGAAATTCAAGGAGGAGAGGGAGGAGTAGAGATGGGGAGAGAGAGACGAAGAGAAGAGAGAAGAGTTAGAGTGTATGTGTTTGTAAAGATGGATTGAGGAGAGGAGAGAGAGTGTGTGATGAGAGTAGGCCAGAGAAGACAGACGAGGGGCCGAGAGACACGGGCCCGCGGGAAACAGGAGGGGAGGGCGACAGAGAGGGAAGATTGTGAGGTTGAGATGAGGGCGAGCGCGAGCAGGGGAACAGAGAGGGACAGCGGAGCCGGCAAGCAAGGGTGTATCTAAGGTTGGGACACACCCAACACAGCGGGAAACGAGACGGGGCGGGGCGTGAGAGATAGACGGAATCCGAACACCCACGCAAAGGGCAGGGCGGCGCCCCGGGGGGGGAGGCAACCGAGGAGGGACGAGAGACGCGTCACGGCGGCGGGGGCGGGTCGCGATAGGGGGCCGGCGAGTCGGGCCGGCGCGGACGGGGCGGGGGGGAAGAAATGTGAAGCGAAGGAAGGGAGAAGAACGAAACGACGGATAGCCAGCAAGGAGGGAAGCGCCAACGAGGCCAGTAATACGCAACAGGGACAACGGGCCCCGATAAAGGGCGACGGAGAGGGCGGCGCCGATCGAAGAAGAGGACACATGCAAAGGAGGCAGAGCCCACCAGGCGGCAGGGAGGCAAAAGGGCTATATATTGGGCGTGGTGAGAAGAAGGGACAGAGGAGAGTAGCACAAGAGACGAAAGGAGAGGGCCGCAGCGAGAGGAGTGAGAGAGAGCAAGCGGAGAGGACAACGAAAAGGAAAGTAGACAGAGGATAGGAAGAGGGAGAAGGGCGGTGGGGAAAGGAGCGGAAGAGCAAGAGGAGGGAAAAACAGGAGAGGGAGAAAGCGCAACGGCCGGAGGACGTTTCCGAGTCGGGAGGGAGAGAGAAGAGAGTAATGGGGCGGACGGAAGCGACGCGGTCGAGAGCAACGGAGACGAGGAGAGAGGAGGAGGAAAGGGAGGCAAGAGAGACAGGAAGAAACCGGGGCAGGGGGTCGGCGGGGAGGTAGAAAAAGCCCATCCCAGGGGGAGAAAACGGGCCCGAAGGCGAGGGGAGGAAGACAAAGGAAGGAGAGGCATGAAGACCATGCAGCGGGGGACGAAGAGGAGGGGCAGAAGAACCGCGGAAAAAGAGGGGGGTGGACAGAAGAACCGGGGAGAAGAAGGAGAGGAGAGAGAAGAAAGAGCGGACCCAAAGAGACCAGCGCCAGCACGGGGAGAACAGGAAAGGGCAGGACACAAGCGGAGCGACGGCAGGGGCGGAAACAGAACACGAAAGGGAAGCGAGAAAGGGGACGCAAGAGAGGGCATAGGAGGGAAAAGGAGGGGCAGGAGACGCAGCGCGAGCAAAAAGCGTTGGCAACCGGGGGGGGCCGGAGCGGGGGGAAGCGTATGGCAGAGGAGAGGGGGGCCCGCGGGAGGGGACCGGGCCGAACGGGGGGGCGCGGGGAAAGCGGACAGAGGGGGGGACAAAACAGGGGAGAGAGCAGAACGCGGGCCGAGAGGGCACGGGAGGGACAAGGGCTATGAGAGGAAGAGCCCAGAGGAGAAGAGAAGGGCAGTGGAGGCAGGACGAAAAACGGAGGAGACGAGACCGGCGGGATTAGGGAGAGTCACACGCCAAAGGACGCCCAGCGAGGTGCTTGCGGCGGCGAGCCGGCGGACAGGCACACCGCGGCAAAAATACACGAAGGAAAGAGAAAGAGAGAATGTGATATAATGAGTTTCTGTGGGTCAGTATGTAGGTGTGAAATTGTGTAAAACTGAGAAATAGACCCAAGCCGTAGAGAAGCCCATAAGGACAAGGGTGTCAGACGTGTATGAAATGGAATTATCTCTATTATAATTTTTGTGTCTGAGGGGGAAAAAGAGGGATGAAACCAGTTTCGTGTTTAAGGGACAGCATTATGTTGTTATTATACTTTTCTGATATTAAAAAGACGAGGCTAGTTTTTGAGTTGGCAACAGGAGTGTGTGTATAGTATCTTATGTGTATTTTAGGGAAGCAAGTGGAATTGGGGATGCCGGAGGGTGGAAGGAGGAAGAAAAGATTGTTCTCGTGGGGGGAAGCAGCGGGGAATTTTTTTTGTTAGGATGGGTGTGACTGTATATTTTTATAGAATGTGTTGTGTATAGTGTTTTTTTTGTATGGATGATATATGGTAGAAATTACGCTATAGATGATAGGTGAGGGTTGGATATGTTAAGATTATCTGATCTGAGATGATTATCGCTTGAGAAGAAGCCGATGCGAACATCCTCTTTTCATCTTTGTTTATACCTCGTACAGATGATACAGATGACAAGTACGAACTTTGCGATGGCTATAGAAGATCCACACAATAACAAACAAGTGATACGACAGTGCATAGATAGGAGGCCACAGAAGCGACGAATATGTAAACATCCTCTAGAAGGGCTCTGATATGCAGTTACCGAAGGGCGAATAGACTCACTCTGAGTGGTATTAAAGAGAGAACAGCGGATGTCAACTCCCCCCAGGTCGTTTTTGGTGTCGTTGTGTTCCTGGGCGAAGAGCGCGTAGCATCTGCATCGCCTTCGGTATTCTCGCTCCAGACACAGCTGTTTGCACATCTGTGGTGATACATGCAAGTACAATATCCCATGAAATAAACATTTTATGTTGATTCATGTTTTAATTCTACTATTACTTTGGTCAGAATTTATTAGAACAAAGATTCCCGATTGATACAATATTTATATTTTTATACACAATGCGGGACTAATGTTTAAGCTTTAGCAGAATACAATAAGAATTTCTAGATGACTTTTGGACTTTTATTTGAACATTACAGCAATGATCAATCAAATATTTCAACATTACGGAAATGATTACTCAAACTTTTCAAAACGGATTTGGATTCACGTAAACTGATATTAATAATATTCAAATTGATCTGGACACCATTAAGGACTAACCATAGTAGAGTACTGAAGGGTGTTGGAAGGATCAGGCTGACATCTGCCGTGAGGGGGACCGAGGCGAGTGAACACAGTCTAAAAAATATACAAAAAATCGTTATAATCACAACAATACAACACGAAATATAGTAAAAAAATACAAAAGAGAGACAAATCACAATTTTACCTTCCACTGAAGAAAAGGACTGGGAGAGAAGAAAAAAAAAGAAAACAAAAGAATGATAAAAGATAACAGACCCTCCCGACGGCCACCGACGAGGACCCAGGGCCGACGTTGAAGCCCTCCTCCTCGGGCACGGGCGTGAGGTAAGGGCTGTGGACGATCACCCGCAGCCCATCCTCGGGCGACAGAAGAGCGAGACCGGCTTGTACGTTGAACACCGCGCGCAGGCCGTTCTGAAGGGCGTGGCGGTTCGGCGGAAAAAGGTTTAGGTTTAGGTTCTTGCTTGTTAGTTTTATCTTATTGTTATTCACCTTCTCTGCATTCCTCTGTCGGTCTGCCTCTCTCTTTCTCTTTCTCTCACTCTCCCTCTCTCTCTTTCTCATTCTCTCTCTCTCTCCACTCTTCCTTTCTCTCTCTCTCTCTCTCTCTCTCTCTCTCTCTCTCTCTCTCTTCTCTTTTTTCTGATTTGCTCCGTTCCCTTCTTTCTCTCCTCCTTCTGCTATATCTACCTTGGGTCCGGAAACGGAAGTGGTCCTCGGGGTGGTGCTGGGTGAGTCCGCGCTCTCGAGGCCGGAGTTGAAGGTATAGCATGTGCCATAGCTGTTGCTGGTCAACGTCGAGAAGTCCCTGGTAATTGATATATAGATATACATACATACACACACACACACATATATATGTGTGTGTGTGTGTGTGTGTGTGTGTGTGTGTGTGTGTGTGTGTGTGTGTGTGTGTGTGTGTGTGTGTGTGTGTGTGTGTGTGTGGTGTGTGTGTGTGTCAATCTATCTGTCAACCTAGATGATAATGTATTCAGTAGGCAAACAATATATACAATAGGAAACCCGTTACTCATCCCTCCTGACTGGCGTCCCCCACCTGTAGTCACAGAGGGTGTTGTCGAAGCTGCAGGAGTACACGAAGTCGGCGGCGGGCACGGCGTAGGCCTCCTGGTCGTGGCGCGAGGGCGCATACAGCTCGGCGATGTCGGTGAAATCCCCGCGCTGCTTTCGAAGTATTATGCTCAGCGTCTCCAGGTCCAGTAGGCCTAGAAGCCAGTCGTTCACCCCTGCGAGAAGAGTACGAATGCCATAATAGGGGAACGTGTGGAATAAATAGGCGGTTAAGTAATAATACGATTATATCTGAACTGTTGATAGGTTTGTGACGTACATCTCACTGGCTGGCAGACTTTGGAGGTCCCGCCGCACACGGAACACATCGTGCCTTGCATTGGGAACGTCTCTTGGTAATCTGTCCACGTGCGAGGTCACAACATCAGGGCAGAGAAGAGATAAAAGTTGGGTTGGTTAGCACGATTCTAGATATTCTGAAAATGGTTTTGGGATGCAGGTACGATGTATAACAATGCAGGCATATTTGTTAGTTATTTACACGTACAAAGAAATACACGCGCGCAAACACACACACACACACACACACACACACACACACACACACACACACACACACACACACACACACACACACACACACACAGCAGAGGTAAAAAGGCCTTGAAATGAAACATTAAAAGTATATACACAACAAAACTTTCAAACATACCCAATGCAGAATCATCATAACAGCCATAATGGTCACAGAAAACTCCCAGCTGACAGATGACACTCCACGTGACGATCTCATTGTAGCTGTCTGTGGAAAGGTGCATCAGTCACTGTAGGGAATTATTCAATATGCTTTATATTTCATTGATCCATTGATTGTTGAAGCTAACTTTGTTTCCTTTGTTTATTTAGTTTTTATAGGAAAACTATCAGTCCTTTTCACTTGGATGTTAAAAAATATATATATATATATATATATATATATATATATATATATATATATATATGAATATGATATGACTACTTCTGTACCAGCGCACATAAACACAATATCTTGTTTTTTATGCTTTCTACCTGACTGCTTTCCTTTCCTTCCTTTACTACATAAACTTTATGAATACTGTCTCTCCCATAATTCTATCACCACCGTATATTTATTTTGTCATTCGATACATTACCTCCTTCACACGTGGATGAGGAGAGATGGGAAGGGGGCTCAGTCGGGGTCCTGTCCTGGAGACTCAGCAGGTCGGCATAGTACTGACTGCACATAATCCTTATCCAGTGCACTTCCTTGGCTAATGGGTGGTCACCTGGTTGGTAATTTGCTTATTGGTTAATGGAGAAAGGCTATCAAATGTAATTATTGGATAATGGGTGGTCACCTGGTTGGTAATTTACTTATTGGTTAATGTAGAAAGGCTATCAAATGTAATTACTATCTTTATTATTGTTACTTTTACTTCCATTTTCGTTATGATCATTATTGCTATTGAAGATAACACCACTAGTTTCACAGTGTCAATACCATTTCCTATTCTAATTTATCATATCTATAAGGTTGCATTTATCAACATTTTTTCGGAGATTGGTACGAACAAAGGACAAATCTACGGACGGATATTATCACAGTTCACTTCGTCCTCTCCGCCTGGGCAGTGGAGGCGACCATCACAGAGGAACCTGTAATTCACGCAGCCGCCGCCCTCGCACCGCAGGTAGCCCGGTTGGCATTGCGTGTCCGCTGCAACCGCCTGAGAAGCTGAGAAAGATTGTGAAAATTGTGCGTTCAAAGAGGGAGAGGTATTCAGAATTTCAGGTGTTTTTCGTTGTATGACATGTGCACATGTAAGGTGTAATAGAGAGAGAGAGAGAGAGAGAGAGAGAGAGAGAGAGAGAGAGAGAGAGAGAGAGAGAGAGAGAGAGAGAGAGAGAGAGAGAGAGAGAGAGAGAGAGAGAGAGAGAGAGAGAAAAAAGAGAGAGAGAGATGGGGGGAGGCAGACAGGCAGACAGAGACACCGAGATAGATAAGAGAAAAAGAGAGAGAAATTAAAGAGAAATTAAAGAATGAAGAGAGAGAGAGAGAAAGACAGAGACATAACTAAAGCGAAACATCCACAAACTCACAGCAGTTAGGCTGGAACCGAGACGAACAAAGCGCTTCTTCGAAGCAAGGGATTTGCTTGGACACACACCGCTTCTCCTCAGCACACAATTGCCCTCCGTCTACACACGCGTCTGGAGTAACAAAATGTTGGCTTTATACTCTCAGTTTTCTAATGAAGAAACTCAACTTGGTAATAAGACATCCAAAATTTTGCAACTACTTGTTCAGGACTTCCCATATAACATTATAATGCACAGAGGAGCTGAAATCTTACCACAGTCTTCCTCGTCCTCTCCCAACAGGCAGTCATTCAGTCCGTCGCACTTGTACCTTTCTCGGATGCAGTTGCTGTCGTTGCACTGGAAGTAACCCGCGGGACACACCACCAAGTACTGGGCTGTCGGGTTGTAAGCTAGTTTTAAGAAGCGTCCTGTTTTACTGTAGAATGTCTTTCATTAATCTCACTTTTGCAGTTCTGGAACACCGTCTGTTTTAGTTAATGTCTGCCTATCAGGGACAATTGAGTAAAGTAGGTTTTCGGTATGTTATACTCTGAGATCGGATTGTTGATTTCTAAGAAAAGGGTTATTTATCTTTGAATGGATTGGATATCGCTACGTTTTACTTTGAAAATATGATAAAAAGGGAGTGAATGACATGCACCATGACCACCCGCCTCACAATATATACTCACAGCACATCATCTCATCAACACCGGAGGCGCAGTCTATTCTTCCGTCGCAAATATTCTTTTCTGGCAAACAGGTGAGCACCATCTCGACTTCGCATAATACTCCACGTCGACATCCGCCTTTGGAGAAAATGGGAGTTGTTATCTTATCTTCCTTAGACAGGTGAACACTAACAAATCCATAATTTGTGCGAGGGTATAGCGATTACCGTGAATTCACAGTTCTAAGAAACCTTCAACTTTAATTCTTTAGGTCCGGGAAATGAGAATTCGTTTGCGTTATCAAGTAATTTTTTATGTCTCCCCCGAAAAATGGTCGAAAACAAACGAAAGGATCCCTGCGTGAGGTTGGCCATGCTTACTGCACTCCCTCTCGTCCTCGCCGCCGTCGCACTCTGGTTCGCCGTCGCACCGCATGTAGGCAGGGAGGCAGAGGCCCTCAGGGCAGAGGAACGCGTCTCCCACACACGCGTCTGTCGCGATGAGAACTTGTGAGACGTCTTAACAGGAGTAGGATGAGAGTTCGTCTTAAAAGATTCCATGCGCTACGTACTCCTGATGCTGATTTGGATAAAGATACTAAAATGACACACGTTAGAACTGATTCATACTCGGTTAAATCATATCAATATCGAGAATCGTGAAAGGCTTTGCGATGGAATATAAAGAATGAAAAGTAAAGCTAGTGCGGCCCCTTCCTCCCTAAGGCTCACCGCAGTTCAACTCGTCCTCATTATACAGGCAATCTCTCACGCCGTCGCAGCGGAATGCCCCGTGGATGCACAAGCCACTGTTGCACGTGAAGTAACCAGGCGGACAATCCCTTGCTGAAATAAGTGATTGCAAACTTATCAATGGGTACTTAGAGATGCTGAGTCTTTCTAAAACTAAATAATCACTCTTTTCTAATAATATCAACATTAGATAATTTTGAAATGGATAACAAACTAAATCAAATACTCGACTTTAAACTATAAAACTGAATCAAATACTTCCTTTCTATGTAAATATTACCATTATATACTCGACTTTAAACTGCATTACAAAAATAGTAAGCAAAATAGACGAATTCTGATTTTTAAGCTTGTTAAGTAAAACACATATTCACAAAGAACTATCTGCGTTATGTTTATCAATAAGCTTAAATGAATGGGCACTAACAACGGTAAGGAAATTGAACTATATCAGATACACCACTTGAGAATACAGATTACCTATATTATAAGAAAAGAGCAACAAAACCACAGACGGAAAATAAATTGGATACAGAATACAGAAATTATAAAGTTAGTGCTGAAAATTATTCTGGTTCAGATTATACGTTATCAAATGAAGATAATACTGCCACTCACCGCAGTCGGACTCGTCACTGCCATTCGAACAGTGCAAAACCTCGTCACACACGTAATGCTCATGGATACAAATGTTATCCTCTTTACAGTGGAAACGCCGAGGGGCACAGGATACTATAATGAAAAAAAGTACTGAGTATGTGCCATTGAATAAGATAATGTACTGTGAAGGAATCAGAATTAGTTTTCTTTGAACAGGTTTGTAAATGAATTTGGAAATAAAGCTAGTTATCATCCTGGACCACACATTTAATATTTTCATCCCACGTAATCTTAACGGTATAATAAACCAAATGGAAGCCATACTAACCACAATCCTTCTCGTCCTCTCCAGCAATACAGTCCTCTACTGCATCGCACGTAAAATTTCTGCTAACACACAGGCCATTGTTGCACTGGAACTCCTCGCTGCTGCAGCCTTCATCTGGCGCGAGGGTTTGTGTCAGATGAATTAATGATTTTATGGTATCTGAGGGTGGCGTGCATATTGACTGTTTTGAAGTGAGCTAGCGCGCTGCTGGGTTTTGATAACTCCGTCAACTTTAAAGCTGTTTTTTTACTTTACCCAGCCTTCCTATCTTAACTTCAGAGAATTTGTCCTCAATTTGTGTCAGGCTTTCTGTCCCAGTTAAAAAATGACAAATGCTATCTGTTACGTCTAAATGAACAGATCATCATTAAATGATATAGCAGATCTTTTAGCGTTCTGGGCATTGCTTTTATAAATAGTCATGAAATCTTTCTACTATCAAAGAATCACAATGAACGACCTACCACAGTCCGCCTCGTCTGATCCATCTTCGCACTGTGTGTAGCCATCGCACACGAGGTCTAAGCCGATACAGCTGCCATCTCCCACACAGTGGTGGCCTATCCCTTGACATCCTGCTGCTGTGGAAGCGATCGTATTCTAGTTGTATAGACTGACAATCCTACCCAAGTGATACAGAGAGATGGAGATTAGCCGACAGATTTTACGTCATCGATTAACACCCTGTAACACTCACTGCAGTTCGTTTCGTCCCGTCCATCGGCGCAGTCCTCCTGTCCATCACACCACTGAGACTTCTGCAGGCACCTCCCGTCACCGCAAGAGGAAGCTGCTGCACTGCACTCATCTAAGGAAGGAGTTTGTGCAACATTTCACCGACACTGCAGCCTTTATGCTGCCAATGCGCTATGCTTGATAGACAGAGGGCGGTTTATCTATGCAATTACAATTAAAACAATTTTAAAGAGGGATTAGAAAGCGAACCCTCAGACGCAAACAGTGTATACGCACAGCAGCCTTGTTCTTCCCAGTCCCAGCAGTCGTCGACGCCGTCACACACGAACCGCGGGTGAAGGCAGTAGTCGAGCCAGAAGGCGGAGGAGCAGGGATAGTGCAGGTCGTCCGGACACTCGCTGCTCCACGACGCTAGACCCAGGGCCGGAAATGCCAGATTATTTTCTTCACGGACATTAATATTTTTCTAATACCCGCAGATACACAGCTTTTGCATGTCCCATACGTATGTCAGGTAAGTGATACTTTATACATTTATACGTATATCTATATCTATCTATCTATCTACACACACACACACACACACACACACACACACACACACACACACACACACACACACACACACACACACATATATATATATATATATATATATATATATATATATATATATATAATATGTATATATATATACACATATACATATACATATACTGTATATATATATGTATATATATACATATACACACACACACACACACACACACACACATATATATATATATATATATATATATATATATATATATATATATATATATTTATATCATATATATATACATACATGTATATGTGTGTGTATGTGTCTGTCTGTGTGTGTATACATATATAAGTATACAATATATATATATATATATATATATATATATATATATATATATATATATATATATATATATGCTTCTTTTCTTTTTTTCTTTCCCCTTCTTTCTCTCTTCAAGCAGCTTGACTCACAGCACTGCGCTTCGTCGGCGCCGTCGACGCAGTGCTCCTCGCCGTCGCAGACCAGGTGCAGCGGGAGGCAGGTGTC